CTAGAGCAAATGTGAGTTTTCTATTTAGTTGATTATTTGTTAATTTTAAGAGTGAGTTTTGATCATTAGATGATAACTAAGCTTAAGGAAAGCTTAAGTTATCTTAAAATCAAAAGATGAAGAAGTTATAAAATATTAAAGAAAATTGGGTTTTAAGTGAATTCTTGGAAAAGAGTTGATAAGTTGAATTTGAAACTAAATTTGACTTGTCATAGGTGTGAATAAGGAGTTATAAGTGTTAAATCAAAGTTTGGATAACATGGAAATTTTGGTATGATCCTTAGCCTTAAGAATTTGGATGAAATATGGAAGATTATAAGTGTTGGAATGATAGGAATTGTTAAACTTGTTATAGATGAATTTAGTAGCATAATAAGGATTTTATACATGAAAAATTTGGGTGAAGTGTTGATGATTTTCGGATGAAATAATTTATTCTGGGCAGGTGCATCGATGCACTATGAGTGTGTACCGATGCACTAAGATAATTTTTGAAGGTGCATAGATGCATTAAAGGGTGCATCGATGCATGGGAATTTTGAAGCTATTTTGTGTACCGATGCACCCATAGTGCATCGATAGACCCCTAAAGGGAAAATGAAATTTTGGTTCATTAAACTAGCTTGAGTTATTAACATCAAGTTATAAGGTTTAGGCTTTTGATAATCGTATCTGAATTTATGTTTATGCAGATATTGAGCCTAAACAAGTTCCGGAACAATCAAAGAATTAGGATCAAATCAAAGCAAGGCTAAGGTGAGTGCAATTTAAATTGCACTTATGTGATTGATCAAACATTGGCTTGCGATGAGCCAATGATGGAGTTACTATGGTAAGAAGTAACTTATAAAATGTTATGTGATTACTATGTGTGCATTAGTACATAGAAATGGATGTATTATTTATGTTACATGATTTACATGCTTACGTGAAAATACAACATATGATATATGTTACTTGATATGACATGTAAGGTTACATGAACAAATGAGAAATGATAAAAGTCATATGAAATTATCTATGTGAATACATGCATTTGTGAAACGTGTTATATGATATTAAATATATGTTTACACATACATGTGGTATGTGACAGAAGAGAATGAACATGTGATTATAAGATCAATGATTACACGTATATGTGATACGTGACTGAAAAGAAAATATATGTGTTTATAAGATAAAGGATATGAATAAGTAATGTGAACTGTTATAAATGATTATGCCCATGTTATGTGATATGAGAGTTAGGGGTATAGTTGGCATGCCAAGGGTCGAGGGTTTACCTATGTTCTTAGGGACATATAGACTGTTTACCTATGTTATTCGAGACATATGGACTGTTTACCTATGTTCTTCGGGACATATGGAATGTTTACCTATGTTCTTCGTGACATATGGACTGATTACCTAGGTTCTTCGGAATCTATGGACTGGTCCTTCCGGACATTTATACGAGCTGTGGCGACAACATAATTGTGCACAACCTCAATGTACTCACATACCTTAAGTTCTCAAAAGTATATATGGGCTAATACATAGACTTTAAAGAGAGTAAATAAATCATTTGATATGATATGATGTGTGTTCTGTTGTGAAATGATATATGATGATATGTTTATTCCTTAGTGTAGTGATATATGTGTTATATGATGTGTATATGGTAAGTAAAAGGGATTAATGATAGTATTTGCAGATGTATGCATTTTGTTAATATGAAATGTTATATGGTTATATTATATGTTTTATATGCCTCACTAAGTCAATGACTTAGCGTGTGATTGTTTCACGCGTAGGTTCTGAGAAGAGGAAGATTGATAAGAGTTATGCAAGACAAGTCAGTTCTCCTTTCCAAAGATCATATCAGAAAAGAAATGTATAGTATGTATTTAGTAATAAGGATAGTGGTTGGCATGTAAATAAAGGTTTAAATCCGATATGTTCTAATCGGTTTGTAAAATCATATGATAAAGTTTTGTAATGTTTTAAATGTATTTATGTAAATGTAAATGTATAGTAATGAACGGTTAAGTTTTTACGAGTTTTATGAACGTTTTACGAAAGTCACTGTAGCAGTACATCGATGCATAATTTTGCTTCAAAATTTTAGTGCATCAATGCACTGTAGCACTGTTCATGGTATTGTTCATTATTGTTCACGGTACTGTTCATACCATATAGTACTATTCATAAGTATGTATTTTTTTCAAATTTTTATAATGAAGCATAATTTAATAGTATATTATTGTATTCTCTTAATATGAGTTCAAATGTTTTGATATTTTATAAGAATATTGTTTTAAAAGTCAATGCGACATCTCAGACTCGTATTCGGGTCAGTTACGGGTTGGGGTGTTACATTTAATGTCATGAAAAAATACAAATAATCAATTCACTGGGAAGTAACGTTTATTACGAGCGACATCTTTAAAAGAAAAAAAAATATAACTTTTTAAAAAAATGTTAAACTCATTGGGTTTATATAGAGGTGTTTAGGGGTTATGTTCGTTATTTTTTTTAGATGAGATTGAATGTATAGATAAGGTATATGGTCGATTGAGTATAGGGGTTGAGGGATTTAGGGTTCTACTAAGGGCATATTTGATGTTTGAATTTAAACGGGATAATCAATTGTCTGCAGACATCGTATTTGAACTTAAGACCTCAAAAAATAATTATTATTCTCTTAACCACTAAAATCACTTAATTTGAACATCTTCCGTCAAATTTTCATTTTTAAATTGACATTTTTTATCAAATAAAATAAAGTCACATTACGTAAAAAAAATGTTTTTTATTTATATTATACGGGTTAAAATTTTTAAAAAAGTTATATAAATTTATTTGAGAAAAATAAAAATTATTTAAGAAGATTTAAAATTATTTATAATGATAATAAATGTATATTATATACAATTTTAATTTAAATTATTAAAATAATACAAATTAATTTATTTTAATAGTTAAGAGATTATTTTTATTATTTTTTAAGGTCTCAAATTTAAAAATTAAGTCAGAAATAATGATTATTTAATGTTAAAGAATAATATTTTTTAAAATAAATATTAATTTGTGTTCACCCATATTAATAAAAATATTATTAGAATATATTTTCAGCTAAAAAATAAATATGAATATTACATGGCTGCATAAAATTGTTGTGGTGAATGAAACCATGCATTGCCACGTAACAGAAACTTGAATGCAGCACGTGGGCATGAAGATATGACGACATTTTCGATACGGAATATAACATCTTCCTTTTCTTCCCTTTTCTCTATTTCTGTTTTCTTTCTTTCTTTCTCCTACATCTTTATCTTCCTCTCCATTTTCGGTTTTCTGGAAATCTCTGTTTATAGGATTTCAGTCGAAATCCTCTCCCTGAATTTATTTTAGGTAAATTACCCTTTGCTGAAACGCAAGATACCATCGTTGTTTTCATTCGTGGTTTTCTTCTCCTTTTTATCTTTAACTGATCAATCAGGGAGCATTTTTCTCGATCGTTTTTTTTTTTGTAATTTTTGGATACCCTTTCAGCTTTCGGCCATGGATATTAAATCTATTACATTCTATTGAGATTTTAAGTTATGTGAATGAAAATATGATGAATTCGTTTATTTATAATATATATGTGTGCGCGCGCGTGTGTTTCAGATGCCTTATTTCTCCCTTTCAAAACTGTCTTATATCTGATTCTAGTACTTTTTCTCTTTTTCGATTGGGCTGTATTCTCAGGATGATGGGTAGTTTTTATGAAGGATAAGCGAGATTTGTATACGTAGTATTCTAATGTAAATGTGAAATCTAAGGATTGATGCTTTAAATGTGTATTGTAAAGTGAAATGTTGGAAAGAAGTTGAGGCATTATTATCCGTTTGTGGTAATGATCACAAAATTCTTGCTTTCAGCACCGTTAGATTTCAACTTCGAGACTGGAATATTGCATTGTAGGATTGTATATTGATTTATGGATCAAAATCAATGCTAGAAAAATAGGAAAATTGTTGATACATGAGATGAGTTCAATTTGTTTTATGGTTAGAGGGTTTGTGACACTTAAAAGCAGCATTTGAAGTTTTTGCCCTTTTTATTTCCAGTGTTCCAAACTAAGAATTTTATATGCTAGATTTGCAGCAGTATGAATATCTGTGGATTACTGGGAAATGAAGTGTAGACTTGAATCTTCTATCTTTACATATTTCGCATATGGATTTGGATCAGAAGGATATGAAGATTCTAAGTTTGGATCTTTTCATTTGGTCAGTCTGTGTATGAACTAACTTGTCTAAATTTCCACAACCTTGCCTCTTTGGTTCGGGGTCATATACCAATCCAATCAGCTTATGATCTAAATATCTTTGAAGTTGTTTTCCTAATTACAGATATTTACGCGTATCTTTAGATCTTTTTGTTATTAAAAACCATTAAATGTTTACATTTTAATGGTGAACCAGCAGTAAATTTTATTGTTAAGTGATTGAGAGAAGACAATAATCCTTGTTTGAGAATTTGAAATCAGTTGAAAAGCTAGCATTATTTTTCTTCTATTTTATGTTCTTTCTGTCAAATATGCTGTAAGACATTCATACCGCTTTCAGTCATCTGCCTCTGTTACTTATGACTTTAACATGTATGAATCTTTTACAAGGAAAACTAAGCATTGTATGGCCATAAAATCTGCATCAATGTGCATTTTTGGTGCACGACATAAAATCTGAGGGTTCTTAGAATGAAGCATTTAGGTTTCTCCAAGTTAATATGTGCCTTTTCTCCCATATCAGACTAGTTCTTCTAAAATGTTTTTTATGAAGAGGAAGCGTGAAAATGTCCCGTTCATTTTATAAATTTTAGTTTTGCAGAAAATGCAAGAAGTAATTTTATTGTTGATATTCTGCAGGTAGTTGGTTATTCATAATATTGGCTGAAAATGTCTTCCCCAAGTAAGAGGAGAGAAATGGATGTAATGAAGTTGTAAGTTCTCTTACACATTTTACATATTCATATTTGCAGTGTGTTATGCTCACATGATCCAATTTCTCTCTCTTCCGGATTTTGATGTTGAGAATAGTTTGCAATTGTAATGCATTTGCTGAAATAATATTTCCATGGTCTTTTTGGGCAATCCTATTTGCCGTGAAGATGGTAACTGGAATTGAATTTGTTGAATGGGAACATTTATACTCTGATAAATGGACTGTGCAGGGCAGAATAAGATTATAATTTGAATGGGATTGTTAACTTGAATGGCCGTATTCATTAAATACTCATGAAGTTGAACTGTCTGTGCTACTGCTTTGTTTCTTTTCCGCAATTAAGCAATCCGTGAACAACAAATATGTTAATGGTTTTCAGATTTCACCTTTACTTAGTGGCAAGTTTATTGCATTTTGATAGAGCTTCCCTCCCACTTTAACAAGCCTGGTGATAGAAATCTCTTATTATTTCAATTCTTGGTACTACTTTATTCAAATGAACTCTTTCCATTTCCACTACGTGAAAGCTTTACTGAATTTAGAAACAGCTGCTAAATTTGGATTTTAGTCCAGTTGCTGCTTAGGTTTTTTTCGTTTCTTTTCTTCTTCCTTACGTTTTCATTTTATCTAGGATGATGAGTGATTACAATGTGGAAACAATAAATGATGGGCTCAACGAATTCAACGTCAAGTTTCATGGTCCCAAAGAAAGTATGCTTATACTAATCTGTTCAATTTGTGTTCTATGATTGTGTGTTTGATATGATCCATCTCGCGTAGTATTCATATGTTTAAGCACTTCAGGTAGTCTCTGGTTTTATTATTATTAAGAGAGAGGATACAATATCTATCTTTACAAATTCAACCAAAACACTTGTGATCAAATTCCCAAAATTTGCATCCATATAATACTAAGGACCTTCAGGGAACTGCTCCATAGTGTTATATATGCTTATAAATCGGAAAATATATTGTTAATTTGATTAAATATAATATATGCTAAAGAGAGCTTTATCTGTCTCAACACCTCTCTTTTTCTTTTGTTTTATGGAAGGGATTTGATTTTGAAACTTTGTTCTGTTTGGGGAGTTCTCTTCATCTTTTATCCTTCCACTTTTCCTCCAATAGTATCAATTTCAATGCTTACAGGTCTCTATGAAGGTGGGGTTTGGAAAATCCGGGTTGAGCTTCCAGATGCTTATCCATTCAAGTCTCCTTCTATTGGATTTGTGAACAAGATATTCCATCCAAATGTTGATGAACTGTGAGGAATTTACAGTTTCAGAGTTGACTCTTACAAACTGCAGTTTCTTTGCTGATGTTTTTTTTTTTCATTCGTTAAATATCTTCAAAAGTGGTTTCTTTGAGCTTACATTGTCAGCCATATACAATTTGGAACGGTTTTGCTAAGAAAAAACACTTAAGATGCTCTTGTATTAATTGTTAATGGATTTCATGTGTTTCTGATTTTTACCACACGGGTTCTTGTTTCAAGTTGTGACTGAATCTGATTTTTTCCCCTATATTCAAATAATTTGCAGGTCCGGTTCTGTATGCTTGGATGTTATTAACCAATCATGGAGTCCAATGTTTGGTAAGCACCGGATTACTGCCATTGCTTACTAATAAGCTGGAGAACATGTTTTTCTTGATTGACAGATTTACACTGTCCCTGTACATTTTTTGCACTGTTACCCTTTCTTCTCCCACAAATTAGTAAAAAAAATTTCCTGGCATTTGTAAAGGAACCTGAGCTATATACAATTTCTTTTTCCTGTTGCTGCAGATCTCTTGAATATTTTTGAAGTTTTCCTTCCACAACTCTTGCTTTATCCAAACCCTTCAGACCCCCTAAACGGGGATGCAGCATCGTTGATGATGAAGGATCGAAAGCAATACGATCAAAAAGTAAAAGGTGATTACATTGAATTGGTTTAATGAGTGTGTAAGAAATGGAGGGTGGTTGTTAAGTACTCTTTTTTATGCCGAGTGATGTAACTAGGGATGGCAATGGGTCGGGTCGGGTCGGGTTTTTGGGCCACCCGACCCGACTCGAGAAGAAAGGGTTCTCCACCCGTGACCCGACCCGACCCGACAAAAGTAATGTTTCACCCGACCTGACCCGACCCGAATATATGACTTAGAAACCCGACCCGGACCCGACCCGAAATAATAATAAAAAAAAATTTAATTCAATGAAAACAGTGACTTTAATTGAAAAAAATTATATATGGAGGGATATTATTGTAATTATCCCTAAATATATAAGATAAAATTATATATATTTTTCGGGTCGGGTCGGGTCGGATTTTTTTACCTTAAACCCGACCCGAACAGTGCATTTAAAAAAACCCGACCCGAACCCGAATTTTTTTTAAAAAAATCCGACCCGATCGGGTCGGGTCGGACCCGTCGGATTCGGGTTGAGTTGCCATCCCTAGATGTAACTACTGTCTTTTTGTGTGTGGAAGCAGAATACTGTGAGCGATACGCGAAGAAAGAAGACACCACAAAATCCACAGCTGACAACGAGACTGACGATGACGACATAACTGATGAAGAAGCCGGATCGAGTGATGATGAAATTGCTGGACATGCAGATCCATAGGTTACCTCATAAGATATATGGCTTCTATGAATTAAACATCTGATAAAACAGTGATGAACACATTCGTTTCATAGATAATAATAGAAGTGACGAGTAAAGTTGGTGACTTCAACATGCTAGGACCCAACAGGAAAAAATGGCAGTAACTATTGATACATTAAAAATCAAATATTCTTACTAAACACCAGCTTGTATCTTCTTTCCCTATAGATTCTGTGCTAGGTGAATACATTGTCTTGTAATTGTATTTGTATATGCTAGTATTTGATTACATTTGTTTTAACTTTAAGCCGAAATGAACATTTATTTATTGAATTCCTATTTTGATCAAGGGATACTTACAGCTGAACATGCGTAAGCATATGCATATCCATGATGTCAGTCGAAGACGAAGCTTGCTAAAACTTCGCTGTTTTAGTTGAGAAATCCCATGTTATGCTGTTTTCGTTCATTTGATTTCTGGGTTTTGATCGATGGAAAGGTTACTCTTTTACTTGTGTTGATGGTAGACGGTTACAAGTGGTTTACTCCTTTTGCTTAGGCGGAGAGTTGTAGTCGGTAGTTTTATGAAGAGTAATGAATTAAGAACGATGAGTGATGCGTGGTTCCCACTTCCCAGAGAATTCAGGTCTCTCTTAGACTTGTTTAAAGATTTATATATTGATTTTTAATTCAGATCTCTCTATTAGACTTGCCTAAGAGGTTTATATATTGATTTTGTCAAAACGATTTTTTCCTTAAAAAGGTGAGATTTTAAAAAACCACATTAATTTTTAATTTATCTCTTTCAATTGATTTTTAATTTAAAAACAAATGCGATTTAAAAAACCTTTCGTTTCGAAAAAAATTCAGATTTCCTTTATGATCGAAAAAATACAGTTCAAAGAGTCGCCGCCAATCTTTGATTAGGGTGTGATTGGGCACCCAAAAATGCTTTGTCATTTTAAATAAAAATTAATTTTAATTAAAACAACAAATTGAGGTCTGCGTTACCAAAATCCGAGTTCGGGAGTCGGTTACGTGTGGGGAAGGATTAGCATCCCCACAACGCCCTAAATCGGCACCTAATCGATTAATTAACGTTTTTGCAATGAACTTTACAAATTCGAAGTTAATTTGATTTTTGATCCCATAAAACAAAAATGTAAATTTAAAACATTCAAGAACACTCAAACGAATTAAATTAAAATTACCAAGTCATTTTAGAAAGATAAAAATGTTCGATTATTTACAAATATCGAGACAGATCTTAAAGATATAACAACCTTTTCTCGATATATTTAAATAAACGAACATTTCTTTTTTTTTCATTCCCAAATTTTAGGTGACGAATCAATTTTTTTTTTGTTTCACTTTCGGGATACACTTTTATTTTAAAATCATTAAAAGCGGACCTCAAATCAGTTATGACTGCCCACTTAATACAATTTTAAAATAAAAGTGTATTACCCTTAATCCGATTATGTAATAGGTTGAGTTATGCAAATGAGGTCATCATACAATTTATGAAAAAAAGTATGTCATACCAAAATTAATTAAAAAATAAAATCACATATTCGAATAAATGTTTGAACCTAAAAAAAGCATTTAAAAGAATACATGCACATGTTAATACTAATATAAATATACATATATATCTTATAAACATGCTAATGGATTCTCAATATTTTAAAATGGTTAAACTTAGGCATTATAATAATGTTTCATGGAACAACCCATCATCTCCTGCCAAAACCACACCGAAACCGACAAAAGTGGAACATAAATAACACCATACCTCAACATGTATCAATTTGAGTTCATATATCAATTAAAAAAGTTACCAAACTAAGAAAACTTTCTAAACTCAGGTTACGATAGAAACAGTACATCCTTAGTTCAAAACTTTCATGTATATTACTTCCAAACCTACAACATAGATTGACTCGATAAATAAACCATGTACTTCTTATTTTCAACAAAGTTAAAATCCGAACTCACATTGCTTTTGTTCTGACAGGATAGAAACTAGCTTTGTTTTTGTTTTGAAAGGACCTGAACCCGCTTTGCATTTTCTTGAGACTCCACGGGAAGAGGAGAACTTCATGGTTTCACCGTTTTCGAATCCGCCTTTTTTTAATAGCATCCCAAAATGCATGAACATCCACATCGTCAGGAACTTCTTTGAATGATGGCAGGTAGTTTACATCCACAACGACATGATCACCAGAACCTTCGGAGTTTGCAGGGGCAGTAGGTATACATTTCAAACTAGAACACAAAACTTGAACAAAGTGGATGAATGATCAATGTATTCCTCTTTCATGGCCAATCAGAAGCATAAGGAAGGACGAAGTTGACAGTCAACTTGGAAGGAATGAGAGAGAAAAAACCTTGTTTTTTTTTACACTATTTTTCTTCCCTGGTTTTTTCATCATGAATGCCCCCCTAACAAGCTGTTTTATTCAGTTTTTATCACTCCCCTTTCCGAATGGTTTCCCCTCGTTTTTTCGGTTCTGTGCATGATAACGAGGCTCACGGTTATTTTGGTTAACTCCTGATAACTTCCATGTAACCATGCGTGGCTGAGAGAACTTCTTTCTTTTCTTTTCCGTTTATTGCAGGTACATCCATGCAGTTTTTCAGGCGTGCATCTTATGCGTGCAAATCCAGACCGTTGGATCAACATTCTGTTAGGCCTACAATCATATAATATGTAAAAAAAATAAGTAACACTAAACTTAATAATAATATAATATATATATTTAAAAAGTTCAAAACTGACACCATACCATATTTTATTATCTATTTGTCATGCTACATTACTATATAATTATCAACAAATAACATAAAATAACATAACACAACCAAAATAAAATTATAATATAATAGCAAAAATCCTCGGACGAAAACATGTGTCTACAGCTGCCCCTCTTTGTCTACTGTTATACCACAACAGTAAGACAAAGACTAAAGACACCAGTTTTCGTCCCAAGGCAACCAGTTTCCATGGGAAATCCATTCCACTGCAACTTCATGATAAGTGAGACTTGAAAAATCTTCAGAAAACGTGTCTGCTCCCTATTATTCATGGAGTATAAGACTCGAACAATCTTCAGTAAACGTGTCTGCTCCCTATTCATTCAGGGAGTATAAGACTCGAATAATCTTTAGTAAACGTGTCTGCTCCCTATTCGTTCAGGGAGTATAAGACTCGAACAATCTTCAAAAAACGGGTCCGTTCCCTATTCCTTCAGAGAGTATAAGACTCGATCTTCAATAAACGTGTCCGCTCTCTATTCCTTCAGAGAGTAAGGACTCAATCTTCAACGAACTTGTCCGCTCCCTATTCCTTCAGAGAGTATAGGACTCAATCTTCAACGAACTTGTCCGCTCCCTATTCCTTCAGAGAGTATAGGACTCAATCTTCAACGAACTTGTCCGCTCCCTATTCCTTCAGAGAGTATAGGACTCAATCTTCAACGAACTTGTCCGCTCCCTATTCCTTCAGAGAGTATAGGACTCAATCTTCAACAAACGAATTTGCTTCACTACTCTTTCGTGAAGGCTTATAGATTTAATTGCTTCACTGCTCTTTCGTGAAGGCTTAAATTTACTTATTTTAAGGTCAAACCTGAAAATCAAACATTATCAATCATGAACATATGCTTTAGAAATATTATATTCAAAAATTTAGAATTTGAGAAAATTTCTAAAAATTCATCTCTATCATAAAAACTTGTATGAAAGCCATTGGATATTTGAATCTACTTTGGCTCAATTGTCATTTAAACATCATTCTTTTCAAGATTTCAAAACTAGTTATCCTCATCTTGATGTTTTCATATCTTCAATCTTCAACTATCCTTGGGAAACCTGTAGATATTTAAGCCATCATGCGATTATGAATGCCATGATTCTACTCATGCCTAAAATGTATGCAATTATGTAATTCAATGTGTTTTCTTCTTTGAAGGAACTCTATCTCCTTTTGATCTCGATAGAACTCGGTTTCATCTTGGGTATAGAACATTTGACCAGTTCACCCCAATTAACAATCTCAATTCCATATCTCTCGGCTTAACAGTACCTTGACTTATTTCTTTCTTGAAACCCGTCAGTACCCATGACCAACTTCTTGATCAATGATAACCTCCTTGGGTCATCTTTTAATGGCTGAGATTTTCTTTGAATTCCGAAGTTTTAACCTCCCATAACCACACAAGCTTACATGTTTAAACCATTGTCAGCTTCAGAATACCTGCATCTTCCAAAACCTTTTGCACAATAATACAAAATGATCTCATGTATTTCAAGTTAAGCTATATGTTTTAACTTTTCAAAATAAGATGCTTGCAAAAGGGGAATTAACAAGAAAAGACATCTCTTTATTTATATAAATACAGAGAATTTTCAGGTAACTACATGGAAAACTTTTAACTGGAAACAGCAAACGAACAAAAGAGTAGGCGTCTTCAAATATCAATAATGCAAATGCTTTTGAACTGGCACGCCGTTAGAATGTCTCGAGTGTAGCTTCTGTCAAAAAGATCTCCAAAATTGTGATACTTAAGAGTATGGAGCTGCTTCTAAACTCCCAGATCTCTATTATTGGATGCCCTAAACCAGTATTGAATCTCATGTGCATTTAATTTCTCTTGGTTATTTCAATCGAGACTCATTAATCTTTAGTCTCATCCCTGATCACCAACTGCCATTGTTACTATCCATATCAGGAGCTCTTTCCACTTCCAAAATTGATTTAGAACCTCCACCATGGACGAATTCTGAATTTCAAATTCAACTCAAGTCGCCCTTTGCGGGTTTTCAACTTGAGACCTCCTTTGGTTCCAAGACGCCCTTTTCGGGTTTTCATCTTGAACCCTCCTTTTATTTCTCTTTTTTCATTTTTCATTTTTTTATTTTTCATTTTTTCTTCCCTTTTCCATTTTTTCTTCTTTTTTTTCGTTTTTTCCATCATTTTTCTTTTTCTCATTTTCTCATTTTTTTCTCTTTTATTTCTTCTTCAAGCAAAATATCTCTTAACAGCGTCGGAATTCACTGGATAGGGTAATTCTGATCCGTCCATTTCAGTTAGGACTAGAGCTCCCCCAGAAAAGGCTTTCTTGATAACATAAGGTCCTTCCCAATTGGGCATCCATTTTCCTCGGAAATCCTTCTGAACAGGTAAAATCCTTTTAAGCACCAAATCTCCCTCATGGAATTCTCGAAGGCGAACTTTCTTACCATGTGCCCGTATCATACGTTTTTGGTACATCTGACCATGACAAATAGCTTTCAATCTATTTTCTTCAATCAAATTCAACTGGTCATACCTAGCTTGGACCCATT